GGCTCACCCATCGTTATGCTGGAGTGTACATATGTCATGGTTTTTTTTACGGCATGGGGGGACTTTCCAATTCTGTTCGGCTATTGCGGCCATGTACCGAGTCCAGTGGATTTCTGTCGATAAAGAGAGATGTATATGTTTGTATAGAGGCGTGATATGGTGAGCGCGTGGTGTGGTCGTGGCAGTGGCGGGAAGGGAAAGTTTTCTGGATTCTTGGGGGGGGGGGGGGGGGAGGTGGAGGAAGAAGAGGGGGGAGATGGAAGAAAGAAGAGGAGGGGAATCCAGCGAGATTGATCGCGTCAGTGTGTGTTGATCAGAAATTTCATCAAAGATTTCAAGGAGTTTTAGAGAGGACGGAAGGGGGGGGGAAGGATGGAGGGAAGAAGAGGGAAAATGGAAGTAAGAGAAGGTGAGATCGAAGGAGGTAGAAATGTTCATCACCGCTTTAAGGAGTTTCAAGAGAGGACGGAAGGGGAGGGACAGGATGGAGGATCGAAGGAGGTAGAAATGTTCATCACAGCTTTAAGGAGATTCAATAGAGGACGGAAGAGGACAGGATGGAGGGAAGAAGAGGGAATATGGAAGTAAAGAGTAGGTGAGATCGATTGAGACGAGCCCTCAGAAGAAGGTAGAACGAACTTGCTTTGTTCTTTTGTTTAGCTATTACCGGGTAGGTCAGAGCACGGTGGGAGGGAACGATAGAGGGTCAAATGGGGAGGAGAGTGTATCAGGAAACTCTCTTAAGGACTGGTCGTGTTACGGGGAACGAAGTATATCTATGATCATCCTTTATCTCGGAACGAAGTAGTAACTCTCGGTAGTGGGCGTGACCGAGATTCCTCGGTGTCAGTTGTTGGGATCAATTGGGGAGCGGTATCTGCCATGTTATTCGTCGGTGAAGTTCCAGGCGTCGGCACTGGTATCAGGGTCGGTCCCATACTGGAAATCAGAAAGTACAGGGATTGGATCATTATTGAGATCGGCGGTCGGAGTAATGGGGCGAGGTTGGAACATGTGTGTGGGTGGGGTGTGTGTGTGTGTGTGCGTGTGTTGAGTGTGTGAGGGGGAGAGAGGGAGA